TCATGCACTATATTAGACTGCATGAATTGCATTTATCAATCATAAATAAAATCCCATGTACATTTGTTCCACGAAAACCTCATAATAACCCCCACTCCCTTTCACCTTTCACTCAATGACCGATTGACCGGATTATAAATACGCCACCCCCGCATCTCGTTGAGCGTGGAGAAGCATTGGGAACCCCAATTTTTTTTTTTGAGCCGTTTCTTTTCCCCTCCCCCGCCCCGGCATAGCCCATTTCCTAGCCTCAATTGAACTAAAAGCCTAAGCTGATAGTTGGATACACATTAATGGATATATGCTCACACGCCCCCTCACGTGTACGGTGGATTCCAACTAACACGTGGACCGGTAAACCGTAGTCGCTTACGAGTGGCGTTGAGAAAGCCTAAAATTAGATAGTAGCACAGTATACGCACGCCTCACAATCTCGATTTTAATTTTATATCAAACTTGAATTCGCGATTTCTTATTTCGGATTTGAAAAGGCATGTTACACATAAGCATATACCTTGTTGAATACATGTATATGTGTCGATCTATCAATATATAGTATTCCTTAATATGGAACGAATTTTAATTTTAACATAGTTAGACAAAATCTATACAACGATTGATGATTCATCACAAGACTCAATTTCCCCTTTACATACATTTATTTTTTCCAATAACGTTTTGAATGATTTCTCTGTCTGTTTGTGATGCCCTCGGTAATTAGTAATGCATTATTTATCTTCAAAAAAGTAATGCATTATTTAATTATCATTTATTAAATAATATAATAAAACTCTGTTTGTTTTTGGTCAATTTCATTAATTAGAAGCGCGAGACATGCGAGGATCTAGCTTTGTTGCTATGGAATTCATTCAACATAGTCTTTATACTTCTACAGGTATTACCTCTATCACTTGTTGATTTGTTTATATACAAGTTGTTTAGTAAAATAATTAACCTGTGAGTAAATTGATATATATAATTAAAATAAAATAAAATAAAGAGACACAAGGAATTGTGGGGTTTTTAAAGCTTTTATTTGCAAGGGAAAAAAATGAAGTTTGAGATTCAAAAAAGAAAAAACAAAAAAAAAAAAAAACAAAAAAAAAACCTTATAGGAATAGTATTTATAAATTTAAAATTATTTAAAACTCTTATTTAATTATTTGCCAAAACAAATTAAAAGTTCAATTCCCATTTGATTTAATTATTAGTAATATTAAGGAAGCTACCAAGACTATGTGGTCTAATGGTGCCCGGGTTGGACTTTCATTTGGAAGGTTATGAGTTCAAGCCTCAGTGGAGGTGTTATTGGTTCTTTGTGTTTCAGTAGGTTGAGAAAGTATATGAACCTATATTACAATGTAATAGGGCCAGTAAGCTACTAGCCTTTTTGATAATATTTGCTTCTGTTTTACTAAGCTATATGCGAATTGTGTCACCTACATACACTATTATTGGAGAGGCCGTTTCTATGTCAGGTTGCGAAGATTGTCATGTCAATCATTCTAAGCTAGTTTCATTATGAATTTGTTACACAATGATTTAATTAAGCTTTTTCCTTTAAAAAAAAAAAGATTATGCTTGTGTATATGTACACACCAAATGATTTTACTCTTTATTTTTTAGAAAGTTATACAAAAGTTTAATGTATACAATTATTTTCTCTCCATGTATAGGAAGTTATGTCTGTATACAGGCAGTTACCTCCCTCAAACAGAAAGATAACTGCCAGAGAATCTACTCGTGCTTGCCATGCAATTGCACTATTTCAGGTTCTTTATTTATAAATTTCCATTTCCCTCTTTTCTTTCTGGACAAACATTTTAAATTTCTTTTCAATATTTTTGATGAATTATATTTATATATATGTTAGATCAAATTTATGAGAAATAACTGAATTTACAAATTCAAACAACATCAAACCAAAAGGATATGCTATAATTTGTAAATCAAAATCTCACAAACCCTAATTGCATAATTAAACTTAATATTATGCACTTAATGTGATCGAATGCATAAAACAATCTAAAGAGTATGAACCAACTAAAGAATATGAATTTAAACAAAATATTCATTTATTCATACTTAACCAAATATGGGCAGTCATAATTCAAAAAAACTAAATGAATTATGAAATTAAGGGCAATAGTCAATTGCCTAGCAAACATGTTTTTCCAAAATTACTAAATTGATTCAAAATCACTCTCCATAACCCAGATAATAATATTATTTTTATGAATGGCAAAATTGCAAATAATCAAAATAGCAATAAATAGCCATAATAATATTATCACATTATGTAGGAGACTAAATATGAAAAAACAACGGTTAAAACCACTAACACTTATAAATGTTTTCGGATAAAATTTTGAAAACTTAATAAAATTTGAAGTCCGAAAAATATTAATGTCCAGAAAATTATTTTCTGAACTGGAGTATTGTCACATATATTTATTTGGAAACAGTTTAAGATGCATATCTAAATACCATAACAATATTAATGATATCATTAATTAATTATTAATAACGTAACATTATAATCACTATTAACATTAATAATAATGACAAATCAAAGTATGGTAATGCACCTTTAAATGTTTCCATTTTCTAAAGATAAAATATGTGACCAGTCCAAATTAGCGGTTAACCATAACTGTAGCACTAATTATCAATAATAACCATAAAAGATAATTACTGGCTAACCTTAATGATGCAAACCGCATCTGCCCATTGCGCTAACAACGATCCAGAATTCTCCCATCTTCACTGTCGGTGTCGCTAGCCTCGATGCAGCGTCCAATGGTACATTTAAAAATTTATTGGTAGGATTTAATTACCAACATTAATATAATAGTCATGTAAAATGAAGTGGTAATCATGCCAATGTACCAAATATAGCATATTACCATGAAATGATAATTATTATGAAAAGTAATAAAATGAGATTAGTCCCTAAACTTAATAACAGTAATTAATAATGCCGAATTTTAACTTAATAAATGGCAAAACTGTAATTAAGGGATGCCAAATACTAATCTCAATTTACCACATAATAATTAATCATGACTATTAGGGAGACTGAAGTTAAGGTAATAACCAAATTACCATTATACAGACAATATACCAACTATATTGCTTTTGCCATGAAATTAAAGACTTGCTATTATTATTAAGGCCCTGAAAAACTATTGATAGATTAAAAATTTAACCAACTTAAACAATAGTTATAGTTCTTAATGGCCAAAATAACAATTAAATCCTTAAATCCTTAATGTCTCTAAACATGCCGAGACAATAACTATAGCATTTAATCATTCAAATTGGGCTCATAAACCTCAATGACCCAAGTGAATTATAACATGAATAAAAACTGGTCTAAGTACTGAAATAGACCCAAAATTTAATATTATTACCAACAATGAATACCAAAATATGGTAGTTAGTAATAATTAAAACTTAATAAACATGTTATAAGGGGCTATAATTATTATTAAAATATCAATCAAAATAGTGGGATCCATACTTTATTGACCGAAGATAGGTCTGAATAGCTTGTTCAAAATAGGTTCTAAAGTCCCAGAGACACATAAAACTAAAATGTGCTCAAATTAAAGGGAAACCAAAACAAGCTACCTTAATAGGTCATAATATCTAAATTGACCTAAGGATCCAAAATTGAGTGATAATTAATAATGAATTTAAATAATATGAGTTAATAATATGCAAAATCCATTCTTAAAACATGATTTTCTAAATGCATAATTATAAAAATAATTTATAAATATACGTAGCATGCTTGAATTTGCATATTAATATATTATTAATTCATATATACTAAATAAATTGCAATACTTGAAGCAATTTAATATGCATCTTTAACATTAAATTAAAATTCAAATGGCAAATTAAAACTTAATATTTGCCCCATATTGAATGATAATTTAATAATGGATGAGTTAGAGAAAAAAAAAAATTCATTTGATAAATAAACTAAATATTCAAATGAAATAAAGAGATGATGATGAGAGCAAAAAACAAGCAGGCCCAAACAAACCAAAATAGGCCCCCAATTTTTTTGTTTAAATAAGACAAGATCTGCCACGAATGGGCTTAACCCGGCCCAAACAAATATACTCCATCATCTTTTCTCTAATCAGCCAAAGAAACCTACTAGTTGTCGACTAAAGAAGAAAGAAGCAGTGCAGCATGCTCCTCCACCAACAACCGTAATGAATCCATTTAATTCACTCCAATTCACCTAACATACACGTCAAATTACATCATTATATCTAACTGAATAGATATATATTTTTTTGCGTGAATATTTTAAAGAATTAGAACATATACAAAAATTCAATGTATATGGAATTAATGTTGATTTTTTTTTTTTTTTTTTTTAGGCAATACAATCAACCAGACAGAGATTATGAAGGCTCTGAAACCAAATGTTAGATATACAATAGTCTAACTATAATGAATAACAGTATACGAGAAACCTGACCTCGTATGATAGCGGAAGCGTAGCCATGTAGATCTCCAGCCATAGTTGATGTTCCTGTTGTGTTGCCTTTTAACGGTAGACCGTCAGCCATGTTTTGCCTCAGACCTGACTCAGAACCTTAGATGGTGTATTGGTGTCTACTGAGCGGACCGAGTACCGTAACTGAATGTGCTATCTAATCCATAATCCTGTATCCCATCAATCCAGGTTATATTAGGCACAGAGTTTGGTTGACTAACAACTACTAGTTATTAAGTCCAACCAGACCACTTAATAAGCCTAGTCAACTTGCACCACTTAATTAAGGCCCTAATATATAATATATAATATATATTATTAGGGAAAATCTTACAAAAAGAATATATATATATATATATATATATATATATATATATATATATATATATATATATATATATATATATATATATATATATGCATCGTCTTCATTGATGATACTTGCTTGTGTTTTTGTTCCAAAGTGCACCCACTGGCAAGGATGGAACTCATCAGAGGTAGCCAAAAAAAAAAAAAAAAAAAATCAAGAAAATGCAAATATATATAAATATTTGATCACCAATATTGATTTTTCTATCCATTTGTGCAGCTAAAATAACACATTATCTTCACCCGTTTCTGGAAATTACTGCAACTAACGATACGCCTTTAGTGTCTTTTCGGCTTACCAGCTTGGGTGTAATTGGTGCCCTAGCCAAGGTAAATATACATACATATACACATGCACACATTCACATAAATTTGATAATTCATTTGTAAGTGAAAATAAAAATTTGTAACCACTATCCGAGAGTTATGCATTGAATTACTCAGTTAAACATATAATTTTGTGGTTATAAGTCAATAGTTTGACGAACTTAGTAACCTGCCTACCATTTTTCTTGCTATTTTTTTTGGGTGCAGTTTGATGATCCAAATGGGCAAGAAATTGTCCATTATCTTCTTCAATCAGAGATTTTCCCTCTGTTCATCATGTGCATGAATTACGGTGATGAAACTACACAAATCGTAAGTTACAAGTTACCTTCTGCTCCACGATCAATATATATATATATATATATATATATATATATATATATATATATATATATATATGGAAGGATTCATGTGCGGATATAACTTCTAATCAGGTGTGGTTAATTCAAAAAGACACCCCCTTAAGCATTCAAATGTTACACCTTAAGTACACAAATGACGCACATTAAACACAGAAACAAAGCACATTAAGATCACAAATCAGGCACCTAAAATTTGAAAATTGCGCACTTAAGTACACAAACCACGCACCTTAAATACACAAACAAAGCACATTAAGAACATAAACCACGCACCTAAAGTTTTAAAATTGCACACTTTAAGTACGCAAATAAAGCACCCATTTCTATATATTTGATATAATCAAATCGCACCACTTACATGTATATACATTGCAGGTATCAGCACTGATAATAGTGAAGATAGTGTCGCAAGAAGAAGGGTTGAAATACTGCAGTGCAAATGGTGAACGCTTCTTCACACTGGTTCGAGCGTTGGGAAGAGTGGTGGACAGACAGCCTGAAAGGCCAAGTTTGCGCCTATTAAGGTTTGTCATTGGTTGTTACCTTAGGCTTTCCGAAGTTCCAAGGTCAGTAATAATCTCAAACCTACAATCCATTCTCAGCAATTATTATACCCACAAATATGTATATTATCAAATCAACTTGTAATAGAATCAAAATGATATTTTGCTGTTATTATAATGTATTTATTGTGTATATAAAATGAAATCAGATAGCAGATACATAAAATGTAAATAAAACAATATTTCATCTTTACTATAATAAAAGTAGTTTGCCCAAAAAATTAAAACTAAAATAGAATTCATATCATGGTCCACACTGCTACATCGACCATGGTCAGTAAAATTTACCCTATTCTTAGCTTATATTTTTGTAAGTCATTCTTAACATCCAATTAATTATGAGTCCTTTTCACTTTTCAGTAAAATTACTTGGAATTGCAGGGCAATGGATGCATTCAAAAACTGTATTCCTGCCAGAATGACCCAACAGAACTTCATCACCTCCCTTCGTGTGAGTTTCACATTACTTGTGACACTGTCACAATCTATTGATAAGTTTATACTCTGTAAATATATATATTTGAATTTTGATTATGGTTTATAAGTATGGGTTTTTATGATAAACCAATTGTAATGTTTCTTATATATGTTTCCACTCAAAATGGCTTTGCAGGAAGACCCACAAAGTGTGAGGATGCTACAACAATTATTTATGAATATTACAAGCCGCCACAACATTTAGGAATTATGTGTTTTCCTTAATTCATCTATTATCTGATCTGTTAGTGAAATTATTAATTTCGATAAATTCGAACACAAAATTATCTATTAGCCTGAGATGTAATCTGCAAAGAACTCCAATATTGACTCTCTGGATGAGTTTTAATTTGTGTAATGCAAGTAGTTAAGACTAAATAAATTCAATAGCTCTATATGCTTAATTACTTGTTATTTTCTTTTTAAAAACATGTATGTTAGTTATAGGATCAATTGAACGTATGTTTGCGTCTCGAATAACATAAGTAAACCACCTTACTAAACAAGCTAGGTTAACATGATATGGTTGTACGGATAGCTCAGTTAGTTCTTGAGTGATAGCTAGATTGCAAGTAATTTAATAATTTTGATAATCAGACATTGATAAATTTTAATAACTTTGAACTAAAGGAATTGAAGAAATTTTTTTTTAGTAATTTTTGAATTCTGGGCCGGATCAAGGTTTTTATTATTTGGTATAATATAGAATTACTCAAAATTTAATCGGACATTGATAAATGTATTAACTCTAAACTAAAGAAATTGAAGAAAATATTTTAATCTAGCTTTTAGGTTGTGGGTCGAGTCATGCTCATATTTTTTATTGTTTGTCTTGGCCTAATTAACTTGATCCATATTTAACCGTCTTAGCCTAGTGCCCAATTGAAACAATAACTATACATATAACGGGTCAAGTCGCCTATTTGACACAGCCTATGAAGAGATAACTAAGTGTGGGAGACGAATCCAAAAAATGTGTCTTAAGTAAAAGTCTTGAAAGACATTTTCACCAAAATAAGCATTTGTCATTACATTTACAAATACTTGAAGTGAGAGACAAAAATTATTGTCACTATATGAATAATTCAGGACTAAATATGATCATTCTTATAATTAAGGGATTGAGTTTACCCTTGTGGCACAATTGATGGCCTAAAAAGACATTTGTGCTATCTTTATAATATATTTCCAATAATATCTATGTTATTATTAAATGCTCATTAAATTTCAACAAAATTATTAATATATGACAACATATGAAACGGGCAAAACGTACTCTAGTTTTCTTTGAAAAAATGCACTAAAATTTCATAGTCAGCCCTTTTGAGAGAGGGGTACCCCAATTGACAATTTCTACATACTTTTATTGTTGTCGCTACTAATCTGATCTACCGGAACCCACATTGAAAGAATTAATGCATATGCTTCACTTCCCTTCTCATCATGAAAATACCTTATTACTGTTTATTAGGATATTAACTATTTAAATTCAAGTTGAATTATAAATAGCTAATACCTTAATAAGCTTAATTATAAATAACTAATATGTGATAAGGCATCTTCATGAAGAAAAGGGACATGAAGCAACGCATCAATTCTTCCCGCAAATTATGCTGTGCAACCGAATGCACCTTGCAAGGTGCATACGGTTGCAAAACGGCGCCGTTTTGGTTAAAAAAACGCGCGTCCCACTTAAAGAAGAAATCAGGTTCGATTCCCGGCAATAGCATTTTTATATATCCACAATTTCATAACTATATATCCATAATTTCATAACTATATATCCACAGTGAATGAATGAAGTAAAAATCCACAATGAATGAATGAATGAATGAAGTAAAAATCCACAATGAATGAATGAATGAAGTAAAAATCCACAATGAATGAACTAAATATCCACAATATATGATTGAACTAAATATCCACAATGAATGAACTAAATATCCATAAATTCATAACTATATAACCACAATTTCATAACTATATATCCACAATTTCATAACTATATATCCACAGTGAATGAATGAAGTAAAAATCCACAATGAATGAATGAATGAAGTAAAAATCCACAATGAATGAATGAATGAAGTAAAAATCCACAATGAATGAACTAAATAGCCACAATATATGATTGAACTAAATATCCACAATGAATGAACTAAATATCCATAAATTCATAACTATATAACCACAATTTCATAACTATATATCCAGAATTTCATAACTATATATCCACAATAATGCTATTGCTGAGAGTCGAACCTGATTTTTTTTTTTAAGTGGGACGCGCGTTTTTAATCAAAACGACGTCGTTTTGAACCGTATGCACCATGCGCATGGTACATTCGGTTGCACAGCATAACTATTGCAATTCTTCCAGTGTGGGTTCCAGTGGGCCGAGTCAGATGTATGCTGAATTTTGTCTATGATTGACAAAAATAATTCATGCAATGTAATTTTTTGCACTATGGAAAAAAAAAAAAAAACAAAAAAATTAGGTGGCAATTGGTAGTAAGATTTCGTGGGACAGATATATGCCAAATTTTGTTTATGGTTGAAAAATGTAATTTATATAATGTAATCTCACGCATTATAAAAATAAAGATAAAAATTTGAATTCATTCAATTCAATCCAATTTCTTGATTACGTTTCTTATTACTGTAATTTTGTCATCCCCAACAGAGTACTATAGTTTTCTTGATATTTTTAATTGTTTTTGTATTTATTTATTATTTTGTCATCTATCAATTGTTAAAATCTGCGATAATTTTGAAAATTTCATTGTTGCACCGAAAACTGCATGGCCCCCACAAGAATTTGCTCCTAAACGGCTAAACCAGGCTGTCTGCCTGTCCAGCCTCTTCCTCCCTCCTTCAACGCAATTCTTATATCATGGACCAATGATCATATTGTATTGTGGATCATGATTTAAATTAATATTCAAATTATTTATTTTTAAGGGACTAATTTTACTGTGAGCCGTGGCTCTCGTGTATCATGATCAAAACGGTGCCGTTTAAAAATTTTTCATTATTAATGGTAAACGGCAAATTTCATTATATATAGTCCATGTAGCAACATATACAATAGTATATTCGAGCGTTCAAATATACTAACACAAATGAAAAACACTCTTAAATTTTAAGAAGAGTGACGATAGAATGAGAAAAGAGAGTTTTTTTTCCAGAACCCCAAATCTAATCCATCTAGTGAGTTTTTTTGAAATAATATTACAAGAACTAATTGGTGCATACATGCTAATTTCAGATAATGTTTTCCCAAAAAATTGAAAGAACTAAAAGTGATAATAATTCAAAATCAATAGACTAATAGTGAAATAAATAATATTAGTTGAAGATTATAGGTAAAAATGACATCAAATCCAATTATCAAAAGTATGTAAAAAATACTCATCATTAATACATCCACTTGTTCATTAGTATGTATTATCTTGAAGTCTTGGAGAACTTCAACTCCAACTACATTTGCCAATGCAACAAAGTACTTATTTTACTAGAAAATTAAATTCAATAGCATCATACCATAAGTTCGACCATAACTAAAATCATATGATGAAATACCATAAATCCATCCATAATAACTATATACATTCAACAATAGCATACCAAGGCCATAACTAAAACCATATGATAAAAATATCATAAATTCATCCAAAATAACTATATACATTCAACAACATCATATCATAAATCCGGCCATAACTAAAATCATATAAAAATACCATAAATCCATCCATTATAACTATATACCTTCAACATCACGTTTGTCATAAATTCATTTTTTTTTTAGTATTACTGACTCTGTTACAATATAGTATTTGTTCATAACTACTTTTTCTCAACCTACTGAAGCACGAAAAAATACCATAAATCCAAATTTATAACAGTAATTTTTAACAAACTGTACTGTAGATGGAATAAGGAAATTAAAACCCAGAATTCCTAAGTCCAGTGGCGGCTTGTAATGTTGGTAAATAGTTGTTGTAACATCCTTACACTGTGTGGATCTTCCTGCAAACACAATATTTGGAGTGGAAACACATATAAGAAGCCTTCATCACAAAGTTCATATACTTAAAAAACCATAATCACAATTAAATTAAACTTTATCACACTGGCAGTGGAACTCACACGAATGAGGGCGATGAAGTTGTGTTGGGTCATTCTTGCAGGAATACAGTTTCTAAATGCATCTTTTGCCCTGCAATTATATTCCAAGTAAGAATTAATTGGATGTTAAGAATGCATGGCTTACAAGAGAGACAGACAGACAGAGTTTACAAGCTAATTAAGCTAAGAATTATGGATTATATTATAGATTACTAACCTTGGAACTTCGGAAAGCCTAAGGTAACAAGCAATGACAGATCTTAGTAACCCTAAACTAGGCCTTTCAGGGTGTCTGTCCACCACTCTTCCCAAAGTCCACACCACTGAGAAGAAGCGTTCACCATAGCCACTGCAGTATTTCAACCCTTCTACTTGCAACAGTATCTTCGCTATTATCAGTGCCGATACCTGCAATGTATGTATATATATATATATATATATATATATATATATATATCTAAATGGTTTGAATTGATTATCTGAGCAGATCAGAAGATAAGTTGTAACTTACAGTTTGCGTGGGTTCATCACCGTTATCCATGCAACTGAGAAACAGAGGGAAAACCTCTGATTCAAGAAGATAATGGACTATTTCTTGCCCATCTGGATTATCAGACTGCACCAAACCCAAAAAATAAAATAAGAATGCAACAAATTAAAACATATGTGCAGTATTTGTGCAATAAGTTGTTAAAAAAAACTAATTAATCAAACATTAGGCTATGATTGGTAAAATGACTGTTAGCTGATAGCGGTTAGCTGTTAGCTGATTGTGTTAATTAGAGGATATAAATAGTTGATAACATTAGCGGATTGTAGAAAATTGTTTGGTAAATTAGCAGTTAGCTGATAGCTGTTTGGTATAATTTCTTTTCTCAAAAAGCTAATTAAAAAAGTTGTTTGGAGTAGCTTTTTGAATTTTAGCATTTTGGAGTTGCAAAAAGTTAATTAACCAAACATTTATATTGATATTTTAACTAAATCAAACAATTAATAATGGTCAAATAAGTCAAAATTGGCTTATTGGCCAATTTTTTTACCAAAGAGGAATTATATTGATTGTCTAACAAAGTCAAACAGTTCATAGTGGTTAAATAAGTCAAGATTGACTGATAGAATAACTATTTTACCAATCACGGCCTGAATAATATTGATTGGATATTCAAACATGTTGTTAGAGAGTGTATATACATAATACATTAATAATATTCACCTTGAGAAGCGCAGCAATTACACCCAAGCTGGTAAGCCTCAGAGCCTCTAAAGGCTTATCGTCATCAGTTGCAGTAATAGTAGTAGTAGTAATTCCCAGAAACGGGTGAAGGTAAGATGTTATCCTAGCTGCAATATTCAAAATTGGATACAAAATATTTACAAAACAATAATAATTTAATCTATGATGATCAAATATTTATATTTTTTGCATTTTCTTGATTCTTTTGCAGATACCTCTTATGAGCTCCATTCTTGTCAGTGGGTGAGCAGCCATGCACTAGGGATCAGAACAAACACACAACCAATTATCATCAGTGAAGACAATGCATATATATATACATAATAAAATTCATAGAAAATATTGAAAAACTCATCATAATAAAAATGATTGTCCAGAAAGAAAAGTAGAGAAAATTAGAAGAACCTGAAATAGTGCAATGGCATTGCAAGTACGAGTGGATTCCCTGGCAGTTACCCTTCTGTCTGAAGGAGGTAATTGTCTGTATACTGACATTACTTCCTAGGTAGTATGAAAAATGGGGAATGAGACACCAGGCAAGGAGAATGAAAACATTAAAAAATGTTGGGATGAAATATAAGAAAAATATTTTAATTTAATTAAAAAAATTCATACAAATATATTTGTAATACAGACACTATAACTCTATGAGTTATTATATTTTCCCTAAAACATTACCACACCCACATTATAATTAGAAGGACCCAGCAGGTAGGACATCCAGGTTCCTAGGTGTAGTATGGTGTCAGGCAAAGGGAGAATTGTTTTTGTTGAAGCCCCAAGAACCCTAAGTCATTTTGCTACCTTTGCTTAGCTTCAATTGGATTAGGGTTCTTCAGCCTTCAACAATTCGTTCGCTAATTTGGGAGAAAAATTAAAGGCGTTGGTAGTCTAAACATTATACAATGTAAATTTTTTGTTTTACCCTCTAATTTGACGATCAAGTTCACGCCTAACTAACGGAGGATCAATTTGACTTAAAATCTAATAGTTGGAGGAACAGTTTGGTTCAATTAAAAGTCATAGGACCAATTTGAGAAACGACCATCGTCGGAGGACCATTTTGAGAATTTTTCATTATATAATCTTATAACTATTGTAAGAGAAAATTTATTCAAGACAATATAAATAATTTATGTATTACATTTAAATAAGAAATATATAAAATTGAAAAGAAATTGAAAGTGTACAAGAGAGAAGCACAACTTATCCTTTATATAATAAAGCTATATGGTTTGGGAAATAATTAATGTTACAATTATGCCACAACATCCTTTATTATAAAAAAAAAAAAAAAAAAAAACACAACATTTAAAAAATAAAATAGCTATATATTATATAATCATATAAAAAATATACTTTTGAAAAATAAAATAGCTATATATTATATGATCATATAAAAAATATACTTTTGAAAAATAAAATAGCTATATATTATATAATCATATAAAAAATGTGTTCAATTAGAGTTCAAATTTACACATACAAAATTTAAAATTTGCTTTCCAAATGTAATTATCTTAGTTATTATTTGTATTGTGAAAATTATGATATAGATGAAATACAATTAAGAATAAATCAATGTAATTATGTAAATTATCTCTATAAGTTTATTTGAATATGCACATAATTAGAGATTATATTAACCATACAAAATTATAATTATAATTATAATTTTAATTTTAATTGTAATTTTGTATTCTATAAAAATAATAAATACTTGACTAATGGAAGCTCAAAAATATTATTATATTAAATAATTTAAAATATTTTAGTTTTTTTATTTTTTATTTATATTTATAATAACATAATTTTTTCCGTGCATCGCGCGGGTGAATTACTAGTTATATTTAAAAGCAATAACAACTTAGGAGGAAAAAAAAAATAATAAGGGCAAAATTGAAAAGGATTATGTGTACAAGAGAGAATACAATTAACAAGTTAACATTGCATCTAGTCTCTCACACACACACGAGATCAAATGCGAAGGAATTCTCAGATAAAAAATGGTGTGAAATCTCAGCCATGGATCTAGCCAAAATTAATAGCTCAGAATGAAGGATTTTTTTTTTTTTAAATATGGCGGTACTATTATAATTTTACGTAAGTTCAAAACTTAAGGTGCGTAAGTTTATAGCTTTAGGTGCCTAAGTTTAAAGCTTAAGGTGGTTAAGTTAAAAACTTAGTGCCTAAGTTTATAGCTTAAGGTGCGCAAGTTTATATATTAAGGTACGTATGTTTAAAACTTAATTAAGGTGCATCAATTTCTAGTTTAAGGTGTATCAATTTAACTCTTAAGGTGCACGACTTACAGATTCTAAGGTGCATCAGTTTCCAGCTTAAGGTGCATGAATTTAACTCTTAAGGTGCATAACTTTGGTTATTTAGGAATATAGACTTCCATACTCTAGGTGCATAAATTTAAAGTTTAAGGTACATTATTTTCCAACTTAAGGTGCATAAGTTCGAAGAATAAGGTGCATCAGTTCAAGACTTAAGGTGCATCAGTTTAGAGCTTAAGGTCCATAAGTTTGACACTTAAGATCATCCGCATTCATGTTGCCAGGAAGCACGTTTTTTTATTTTATTTTCTTTCATTTTGAACCATTGATCTAGATTAGATCAACGGCTCAAATCTCACTCCACCTTTTAACCTGAGAAACCCTTCATACGTGAACCATCCCAATAGATATATATAAATATAAACAAATCAACAAGAAGTGATAGAGGCAATACCTGTAGAAGTATAAAGACTATGTTGAATGAATTCCATAGCAACAAAGCTAGATCCTCGCATGTCTCGCGCTTCTAATTAATGAAATTGTCCAAAAACAAAAACAGTTTTATTATATTATTATTTAATAAATGATAAATGATAATAAAACAATGCACTACTAATTTCGGAGGGTACTAATAAAGATTTTAAAAATCCTCACGAACGGAAAATTAAACATTCAAAACAACAACAACAACAACCAAAAAAAAAAAGTCATTTTACTTGTTTTTTATTGGGAAAAAAAAAAAAGAAATTTATGTAAAGCGGAAATGGATCCTTGTGACAAGTCAAAATTTGTTGTATAGATTTTGACCATTTATGTTAAAATTAAAGTTTATACCAATTAGAAAATACTATATCAATCGATCTGTACATATGCATATGTATTCGTAGATTTGTGTTTTTATATATAATATAACCTCTCTAAATTTATATAAAAAAATAAAATAAAATAAATCATTGATCTGAATTTTTATATAAAATTCAAATCAAGATTATGAACTATATATGTATATATAATAATTTTCTATATATATAAGACTACTGACTGCGTTAATGCTTAAATTACAATAAATAGTTAATACCTTAGCAAGTTGTGACAGAGCATATTCACGGTAAGAAGGGGAGTGAAGCAAATGCACTAATTCTTCCGGTGAGGGTTCAGATGGGTCAACGGTGGTAGTGGGAGTCAGAGTTGTCCGTGGTAACCCCCATGTTGTGGGGTCCACATCAAGCGTTTCTGGCAAATTGATCTTATCCATTTAAATTCGACGTAGGTTTTTCAATGAGAAAAAAAAAAAAAAATTACGATGAAAAGAAACTAGCTCAACGCCTCAAACTAAGATTACTTTATATTTACACAGAGAGAAGAGACTTGGAAAATGAAAATAATAGTATATTTATAATACAGACATTCAGTGAACGGTTAATGGGAGTGGGGGCAGGGATATGATGGGGTTGGTAGGGACTTTTCATGGGACAAATGTTCACCGAATTATGTTTAGAATTAACAAATGTAATCCATGCAGTAATCTCGTACACTAAATAAAACAAAAGTTTTAAATTCAATTCAAATTCTTGATTACGTGTCTTGTTAATATAATGTTGTTATCCACAACAAAACATTATAGTTGATCCATTTATTTGAATATATCAAAAGTTGAGGGTTGTTAAAAAATAAGAGAAAAAATGAGCGTAGTTAATTTTATAAATATTACAAAATTAAAAAAAAAATTACAATAATTTTAAGATTAACCTCGTATTTTTTTTTTTTTACTAAAACATTAAATCATTGAGGAACCTTGATTTGAGGATGTGACCCGTCTTTACTTTTTGTATGAAGATCATGTTCTCATTTGAAACCCCCTCTCTCTCCCTCATTCTATGCTCTCATGTAAAAAGTGAGAACTTATATGATCCATTTGTTTGGATAAATAACAATTAATGGTTGTTAAAAATGGAAAAAAAATGTAAGGTCAATTTTATAAATATTGTGAGTTTAAAATTTTACAATAATTATAAAATTGACTCATTTTTATTAAAATTCTCAATCGTTAATGAACATTAATGGGCGATTAACGTTAAGATTTTATTAATTCAGATTTTGAAAATCCTCACGAACAAAAATCAGCCAAAAATGTTAGCGTTAAACATTTTTTTTAAAGGTGACTTTAATTGTTTTTCTTGGAAAAAGAAATGCACGAAAAATGGAAAGTGAAATCTGATGATGAGTCAAGAATAATGTATAGATTATTAAAATCTATACATATGTATTCGTCTAGGCATGCGACCATATGTATATGTAATATGTCCCCGTATCTTTGAATCAAATATTAGAATCATTAATATGATTTTGAAACGTTAATTAGATAGCGTTTTAAAATAAATTATTATTTTTTAAAAAAAAATAGAGTTTATTGTTTATTTGTAGTTTAAAATAAAGGAAACAATTATAATTTATGTTATTTTATAATATATTAATTATTAATGTCACTCATAAATTATTAATGGTATAAATGTTGCCTCTCAATTTTTAAAACGGTACATATATAGCCCCTTCTATACTGTACGAGAGGAAAATTGAGTACATCATTTACACTACGAGAAGTATAATATATGTACCAGTTTAAAAATTGAAAGGCAATATTTACACTCCTAACAATTCAGAAATGACATTGATAATTGACATATTATAAAAGGGTATAAATTATAATTTTCTCTAAAATAAATAATAAGTTCTATTGCATTCAAAAAAAAAAAAATAAAAATAAGTTCTATTAAACAGAACTGTGGACTGAAATGAATGGCTTTGTTTGGTCAAACTGTCAAAGTTTAGAGTTTGGGTTTCATGAATTCTTTGAACCACCACATCACTGTACTCTCGGCCTCATTTAACTGAATATGTAAAAGTCACGTGATCTGATTTTATATAATTTCTAGTTCTTTGTCAGTCCTATCATTTGTATTATATCTACTTTTTAAACAAAAAATTAAATTAAAAATTATATTTCTCCCTTTGTATACTCCATCCTCTATATTAAGATTGGACACAACCATTTTCAATCATGAGATTAGGCCAAGGCATTAATCTAGAAATCATTTTACATTTTTATTCACTTCTAATTATTCAGCTTTGGTGACATTTCTACGTATAATTCTCAACTATCAATCATCTTTTCATTATCGAGCACATTCTAATTTCAAATAATGTTTTGCCAGAAAACTCGACAGAATGAATAAAACAAAAAAGATATTTAAAATCAATGGGACTAATAATGAAAAAAAAAAAAAAAATTGATAATCAAAAACTAAAAAGATATTTAAAATGCCACATCCTCGAATCAATAAAGATTTCCAAAACGCATCGAAACAACTCATTTGATCTCTCTTTCTCTCCCCCTTTCTGCCTGTCTCTCCATACAAAAGTAAAATGTGAGTTTCTCCATGACTGCATACAAAATAAAGCAACCAATGGAGCCACTATGGTACAACTACAGAACAAAACAACCCTGTTTAAGTGCTAGATGGAATACACTGAATGAGAATCCATATTGCAGTAAATTCAGACTCACAGAATCAAGAACTCAATCCTGTGGAGATCTGTGAACATCTGATTTTGGGGGAATAGAGAGATTGCTCTCTAGCATGAAAGAGAGATCATGCATCCGTGAGAACAGACTTTCTATATCAGTGTTTGACTGGATTGGTGTATTGAAAGTGACTCCACCCATCACAGATGTATTGAAAGTGTCTTCGTCCACTACAGCTTTTCCAGCACCGTCACTGAGATTGCTTTTAGCATCTGCTATGCTGAAGAAGTAAGAGATGAATTAAGAAGGGTGATCGAACATTAAGGGTACAGGAAACAGACAATCATTGAAATATCCTCAACTACAGCCATTTATCACAGCAAACAGTGGTAGCCTCTCAGAGAGGATCTTTCAAGTTTAATAGAATATTTCAAGAGAAATTAGAACCAAAAAATCATAACTCAGTCTAGAACCTCAGATCAAAGAAATTACAAAGAGCATTTTTTTTAAAGTTACACTATGAAAACACAAACTGCAAAATTTTAATTCACACGCAGAAATATATATTGCAGATAAAGAACGATCACAGATCTGAGCTTCATGAGAAGCATCATAAGCCAAAAACGATTCAATCCAGAGTGCACAATTGCACATATTGAAGAATTTGATTGTTTTTCTAAACAATTTCATGAACCAATAACATCATTTCTTTTTAGGGTGCGTTTGGAAACCCGGAAAATGATTTATGGAAATCATTTTCCTGGTTTCCAGTGTTTGGCTAGAGGGGGAAAATGGAAGTCAATGGAAAAAGGGGAGTGGTCAATGGAAAATAGAGGGGATTTTCCGGAAAATTACTTCCCCTTTTTTGGGGGGAAGTCATTTTCCATTTGCAGCAGTGGAGCAGCCAATCACCCGATGCCGCCGCCACCGCCACCACCACCCACCACCACCATTGTATATTTGAAATATTTAAAATTAAAAATAATTATGCTTATTTTCCAGAAAAATGAACCAAACACACCAAGACAGTTTTCTGGAATGCAACCAAATACGGGAAAGGAAAATGTCTAGAAGTCATTTTCCTGCTTTCCAAACAGATTAATTATTGTGATCCATAAAGCTAAAAAGAATGACGCCAAGCCTCACTGTAGAATAAAATGAGTGAATGTCCTTTATCATTAAGCCTCAAAGGATAAAAGAACCAAGGAGTTGCACTTGAATGCTGCTTATTATCAGTATGTTCCCCTTCATACCAAACCCCAAAACTCTTGAAGTGTTACAAATGAATCATTCTTTAAATATCTCCATAGCATCATAACAATGGATCAATATTTTTTGTGATTTAGTAAGCATGTTCAACATTGCATCTCCTGTCATGTATTCATGATTCAAACCTAACAGAGTGGTCCTTTAAGTTTCTGAACACATGTTTTCATTTAATATATATCTTATGGCTTTATGCATTTAGAGCTATATCTATGCAGCTCTCAGAGGTAAAGCTTGAAACTGAAAAAGTCATTCCAAGATCTATTGAACACAGCGAATGTTATAAATTTAGGGAAAGTAACACAAAAAGTTATAACCAAAGAGATTTATCTAACCAAAATTACCATAAAATATCATAAGACTTGGTAATGTGAGGTTAATTCCATGATCTGTTAGACCCATTGACGTAACATAGACATGTGATAATACCTTTAAGTATAAACATCAGAAACAAATGAGTTCTTGACGTGAACCATCCAAAAGAAATCTAATTCATGACTTGATAAGAATAGAATGAATATATTATGATAGTGACCAAATGAATACTGATCAAGGTAAAAACTCTACCACCTAGAAGTTTGAATATTGCAATTATACCTCATGGCAGGAACTTTTATTTTAGTAAGTAGCATGTGAGAAATTTTAAATGAAGAGCACTTATGCACAACTTCAAAATCAGTGATGATTCAAAAATTTAATCTGAGAACATCTACGAACCTGTCCAACGGGTGACCTTGCCAAATAGTCTTAGCCCCTGCTTCAGAAATGCTTTCCGTATGGTGCGAACTGGAAAAGAGATTTGAATGTGAAAAGCTGCTAAAATCCATATCATCAAACTTGCTAGGGCAAAACAAGTTTAATTCTGAAGTGTTCTCCAAAGCATCAACAACGTGATTATCATTTTGTGTCCCTGCCTTTGCCTGAGAATCGTTTATGGCTGTTGAAGCCGTAAAATCATTCCAATCATCAAAAATACCCCCACCCACATTCATTGCATCATAATTAGGTGCAGTGGCATTATCAGATACCAAAATGTCAAAAGGAACATCAGCCTGATTATCATTTTGTGTGATTCCCTTTCCCAGAGGATCTTTGACAGTACTTGAGCTGGTAAAATCATTCCAGTCATCAAAGGAATCTTCATCTATGTTTGTTGCATCAGGATTAGGTGCACTGGCAACATTGGTTGGCCACTGGTTATCTTGAAACCAGTCAACAGTTATTGGAGCGTTCAAATTATTTTGTTGTTGAGAATCATTCACTCCAACCATTGGGTCAAATGACCCTTTTTGCTCGAAAGCTTCAGTATTTGCATTATTCCACTTACTCACTTCATGAAATGCTACTGACTCATCCCCCTTTTTACTTTCATTCAAGTCTTTGCCACTTCCAAAGATGGAATCCATGTCTGTAGAAACATCATTTTGTGTGATTGCCTTACCCAGGGGATCTTTGACAGTACTTGAACTGGTAAAATCATTCCAGTCATCAAAGGAATCTTCATCTATGTTTGTTGCATTGGGATTGGGTGCACTGACAACATTGGTTGGCCACTGGTTATCTTGAAACCAGTCATCAATTATTGGAGTGTTCACACTATTTTGTTGTTGAGAATCATTCACTTCAACCTTTCGGTCAAATGTCCCTTTTTGCTCGAAAGCTTCAGTAGTTGCATTATTCCCCAAGTCATCAAAACTCCCATTACTCACTTCATCAAATGCTGCTGACTCATCCCTCGTTTTACTTTCACTCAAGTCTTTGCTACTTCCAAAGATGGAATCCATTTCTGCAGAAAGATCAACTGCAGAACTTACAAAAGCATTAGATGAATTGGAATTCCCAACTTGACTTTCAGAATCAACTGTAGAACCAAATACAGGGCCAGATGTCTTAGAAACACTCTGAGTTCCAGAATCAGCAGACCTAAAATCTGCCTCCCATCCGGAAAAATCATCAGTTTTGTTGTTTTGAGATGTGGTGACAGCTGGTTGGAAGGACTGAACACTCTGAAACAAACTATAATCAGGAGTAGCAACAGTTTTAGCTATTTCACTTTCAACTGGGTATGATGTAGCAGGCTGTTTACAAGAAGTATTATCACACTTTGGTCTACAAAAAAAATTGTCAAGGTCAATCCCAGTATAATTCAAAGAACTATTGCCCTGTTGTGTCTCCTTGCTTGCATCATTAATCTCTGACTGCTGCACACTGAATAATCTTATTTTCAGATCTAAGAGCTCAGACAAGCAAATGTTATCCTTTGGTGTACTGTGCCTTCTGTTCGCCTCAGTCTTTTCACCCTTTTCACTAGGTGTCCCAACCTTTTCCTGCAAACCAATAGTGTGATGTCACTAGAATCAAGTTTAAACTGGTTTGCAAAGCAAATGCCTAAATGAGCAATAAAAATGTGAAACAACTCAAACAAGATAATCAAAAGAAAAATAACAAAGTAGATGTGAAATATTTAATTAGATTTTCTTCATTAGCACTAGGCCTTGCAGGCTGCACAGTTGCACCCAAATATTGATCACAACTTAATAAAGTAGTATAATTAACTATGATTATCTGGCCCAAGTCTCTCTCAAAAGTGATAAAAACCAAAAGTAGACTGTAGATCACTAGCATGGACTTCCATGTTGCTCTTCAGAAGATGATTAAAAAATCATACTCCGTAACTATTAACAACAAGTTCCCATAGTATAGACCTCTCATGTAGCTTCTTTCTAATGGAGCAGAGAGGAAGGATGAACCCTTCCCTGTGCACCTATTCGTGTCTGGGTAGCATCTCAGTTTCAAATCATTGTAGTTCTATATTTGCTAATAGTTTTATTTTCAGCAGTGAATCATAAGCCATTAATTTCAAAAGGTTCTTTTCTGCTTGTTCATTTAAAGAAAATCAGTTCAGCTTAGCCCAATCCATACCCCAGCAACTCACAGCCTTTGCCCTAATGGTCATGACTTAATAGACTGCTTATTAAACGAGTTGAACAAATGTGGGAGTTATAGAATCTCCTTCAACGGTAAACTCAAACTTCAACAGCCACATTGCTAAAGACTTCATGTATCCATCAACAGCTTGACAAAGGAAGTTTGTGAGTGAAAGAAGATTCAAAGCCACAATTTATTCCCAGGATCACATGACTCTCCTCCTATAGTTCTATAAGCAACAAACTCAAACAAAGAATACCCCCACCCCACCCTTCCCAAAAAACAGGGTGAAAAAATCAGCTAAAGCACACATCTCTCATCCAGTTACAAGGTTTCACACATCCATAGCATTTCCAATGCAATAATACCACTGTAATGAATAGAACAAGCCTCCATTATGCCAACATCTTAAATTGCATATCAAAAAAACCTAATGAATATGTGAATCTACTCTAAGAGTCTAAGCTATGTGCAACATGTCAAACACAATCTACACCTCGTGGACATTACGAGCAAAACAGCCTATAGAAACCATTGACATACCGATCCATCAAGGAAAAGTGACTGCAGCAACCAGCGATAGCTAACAGTGGAGTTGAAGGAAATGGGATCAGGCACAGAAGCGTCATCGCTCCGGTGCAGTTTCTGGCCGCAATATACGCAAATCACAGACTGCAGCCCTCTAAGAAGCCGCCCTCGGCAGTGCTTGCAGCGGAGGTACCGCGGCGAAGGGTCGAGTGTGTCGACGGTGGCGGAGACAGAAGGCAAGGGTGAGAGGGTCCGGTCATTGGGATCGTACTCCGGTAGCCCGGATTCCTTCCGCGTCTGGATCTGGACTTGCCGGATCAGATCAGTTGGGAGGTCGTATGACATTTGGGAAGTTACAGATTATGATAGCATCTAATTGTTAGGGTTTTCAGTATATCCTTATGAAGCTCCCAGCTATGGCGTCTTCGTAGTTTTACTCAGAATTCAGAAATCACCGACGGACTAAATGCATATGCGAGATGGAGCAGACAGGTATATCATTCACGCCTAAACTTTATGCTCCCAGTTATGATACTGGATAATTACCGTACAATAACTCAGAAAATTGAGAAAAATCTAATGAAAATCTAAGTTGTGTTCGTTAATGAAAATGAAAACTTTCATAAATTTGTAAAATGAAAATGAAAAGAACAAGTTTCATTTGTATATACGGTTCGTTATTATACTATCAAGATAAAACAATATGTTTCAAAAAAAAATCAAGATAAAATATATATTATTCTTTGCAATGTAATATATGTTCTAATTTTTATATAGGTGATTCTATTATATTCAAGTTGTTCGGTCTTGACCACCCATTTATAATTATGATAGACCTTTTATCCCAAAAGTGCTGGCTCCTGAGTCTATCAAACAGTTCAGACCTATAAGTTTATGCAATGTAAGCTACAAGATCCTAACGAAGTTGATCACTAATAGACTGAAGCGTCTTCTCCCCCAAATTGTCGGACCCTACCAAAGCTCCTTTGTCCCTGGACGTCAGATATCGGATAATGTGATAGTGTACCAAGAAATCATGCACTCCATGCGCGACAATAAAAGCAAAAAGAGCTACATGGCCATTAAGTTGGATCTCGAAAAGGCTTATGACAGGCTGTCTTGGGCTTTCATCAGAGATACGCTGGTTTGGGTAGGTTTTAATGACATATGGACTAACGTAATAATGTCGTGTATTTCTTCTTCCAGGTTAGCTATTGTTTGGAACGGGGAAAGACTGGACCAGTTTCGCCCTACCAGGGGAGTCCGACAAGGCGATGCAATGTCTCCAGCCATATTCGTCCTGTGCCTGGAGAGGCTGAGTCATCTAATAGTCTCAAAGGTGAACTCCAGGGAATGGAAAGGCATTCGGCTGGCTTCTCCGGGGCCTACTCTTTCTCATCTTTGTTTTGCAGATGATATGGTTTTGTTCTCGGAAGCTACTAATGAGCAGGTAGATGTTGTACAAGACTGTTTGAACTCCTTCTGTCACGCATCGGGGCAAAAGATCAGCTTGGGGAAGTCCCAGGTCCTTTTTTCGAAGAATACCCAACCTGATATCGCCCGGGAGATAGCTGCGAAGTTGGGCATTGAGGAAACTAAGGATCTAGGGAAATATCTTGGAGTACCATCCATTCACGGAAGAGTAACTTGCAACACCTACTCAGGCCTCTTGGAGCGAATATCAGCCAGGCTTGAGGGGTGGAAAGCCAAGACGCTCTCTATAGCCGGTCGTGTTACGCTGGCAAAGTCGGTCCTTAATGCCATCCCTATCTATACCATGCAAACGGCATCTCTTCCGAAAGGTGTCTGCAACGAAATTGAAAAGCGGACCCGACGGTTTTTGTGGGGTCGGAACGAGGCAACTGGAGGCAATAAAATGAGCCTTATCAACTGGGACACTATAACTAAAGGGAAAGCGTCTGGAGGCCTGGGCCTGAGGAAAATGCACGCCATGAACACTGCGTGTATGGCTAAACTAAGCTGGCGTATCAAAACAGAACCTAATGCTTTGTGGGTGCAAACTTTAATGTCGAAATACACACGGCCTGCTGGCTCGCAAATGGTCCCGTCTCGCAGAAGGAGCACGTCGAATGCTTGGAAAGGGATCCTAGCCTCACAAGAGATTATGGAAAAAGGCATTACCCATATTGTTCGCAATGGGAGAAACACTAGGTTTTGGATGGACCCTTGGCTTACCTCAAAGCCCCTCTACGAGAGTTTTCAAGGTGTCTTAAGCCTCCCGGATCTGTACGCAAAAGTGGAGGACTTTTGGGACCGGTCTAGGGGGTGGAAATGGGAGATTATTGAACAGCACCTCCCTGCAAATGATATAGAAAGGCTGGCAGGGTATGTTTTGGCGGAAGAGCATGTCAACGATGAATGGGGTTGGAGTCCGGATCCTCGGGGGCGGTTCTCGGTGAAATCCGCGTACGGCCTAGCAGTCTCGGCCGAAGGACAAGAAACGAACAAAGTGTGGGACCACATATGGGCTTTAAGGGTGCCAGCGCGCATAACCATGTTTATATGGCTGGTGGCCCACGAGAAAATTCAGACGAATTTTGAACGTACTAAACGTCGACTTACCACTAATGAGAGCTGTTCTCTGTGTGCAGGTCAGCGTGAGGACATGAATCATTTATTCCGGAAGTGCGGTGCGACTAAGCAGATCTGGGAGCAATCCCTTCCACGACGCACACGAGATTACCTGCAAGACCTCGACTGGCAAACTTGGTTCATGGTGAACCTCCAAGGGGATCCCAAGCGTGGTTTTGAGGTCGACTGGCCTGAGCAATTTGGAACTAGGCTCTGGTGGATTTGGCGATGGCGAAATGAAATGATTTTCAACGGCAGTTTTGTATCTCTGGAACAGAAAATGACCTGGATCAGACAGTGCGATGAAGAGACGAAGAGGGCTTTTGAGACCACTCGCAGGCCGCTGCCCAGACACAACCGAGAAGGGGACGCGCGTCTTGCTTGGGTGAGGCCGGAGGAGGGATGGCTAAAGTTAAACGTAGATGGCAGCAGCAAGAGTGACGGCAAGGCAAGGTGCGGGGGGGTCCTGCGTGACCACAATGGCGACTGGCGAAGAGGCTTCTTATACAAGATTGGCAGATGTTCGGCCGACGTTGCTGAAGCGTGGGGCATCCTTCAAGGTCTCAGGATGGCTCGTGAGTGCGGTGTTAGCCATATCATTCTGGAATGCGACTCAAAGCACAGAATGGACGCCCTCCGGCAAGGCGATGGGGGGAGAGACCTGCAAAATAACATCCTTCGCATGTGTGCCAGAGAAGCCCAAGGTTTCTCTGAGGTGAGATATGACCACATTTACAGGGAGCAGAATAGGCTTGCGGATGGGTTGGCATCAAAGGCAGCAGCTCAACAAGGTGGAATCCACTTTTTTGATACGCCGCCGCGTGAGTTTGAGGAGCTGGTCACCTTAGACCGATTCGGAGCCTCGTCACATAGACGAGTCTCTTCTTAATTGTTTTTGGCTTTTCTTGGGTTTTGTTTCGGGTATCCCCCTCCTACAGAAGCAAAAAAAAAAAAAAAAAAAAAAAAAAAAAAAAAACATTGTAATTGGTAAAAAGAATATTTATTAAATTAACAATTTTTTAAAGAAAAAAATGGTTACATGGACCCCTGAACTATAGGTAAAAAAGCAATTAAGTCATTAAACTTTAAAAATGTGCAATTAGGGCCTTCAACTTGTTATTTTGAGTCAAATAAGCCTAATAACAAATTTTTCACCTGGAATAACCGGTCAAAAAATTCTAACGATATTTATGGTGACTACAAAATTTTTATTTTTTTTTAAACACCTACCGGAGAAGACAATCGTTCGGTCGTATTCTCCGATGGAGAATGTGACCAGATCATGTCGCCTTCTCCATCGGGGATGACAACCAGTCCGGTCGCCTTCGCCACTTGAGAACGCAGCTAGTCCGGTCGTCCTCTCCAGTGGATAAAACGACCGAACGGTTGTCTTCTCCGATATTTTTTTTTTTTTCACCGGATTTTTTCGCTGGAAATGTCGCCATAATTTTTTGACCGTACCGGTTATTCCAGTTGAAGGGCCTAATTACTCTTTTGCCTATAGTTCAAAGGTCTATTTGACCATTTTTTTCATTTTTTAAATGTATATATAGAGGATAAATATTAACAAATACGGAGTACATAATAATATGTTAATGTAACACTTACACAATGTCCCTCTAACACATGTAATTCATAAAGTGTTTTTCACAATTGTGTAACACTTACTCGGTTTTATTAACACGGGGTAAAAATCTTTGGTGACAAGGTTCGAGTTTATCACTATTCGAACTGGGAAAATGCGCGGTTTTAGTCAATTAATTATTATTATTGTTGTTGTTGTTGTTGGTGGTGGTGGTTTTACGGTTGAAGGGTAGCCAGTCGGTGGGCCAGCACTACTAAAAATACAAAGTAAAATAAATAGAATAGTGGAGCAGACTAATGTTTAGTATATTGAAAATCGGATCCCTTACAACGTGACTCGAGTGTATTTATATAAGGAATATGGCATTGAAGAAGGCAATAAATTTTTGTTTAACTAAAATAGACATATGAAATCTTCTTAAATTGCTAGAGTATCTTCCTAATGTGAAAAAAGGAAGTTACTTGACACGCAATAAAAGAATCAACGCTAAATCTGTTCTTAACCGCCTCGGGAGTGCGCACTCGGAATATCTATCAACTATTATTGTTATTGTTGTTGTTGGTATTGTTATTCGCTCGCTCCCTCGCTCACACACATATATAAAACATTAAGTGTGAAAAATATTTATGTCATTTGTATACTTATTCGATTTTTATTATTTAAACCAAACAAACAATGTAATACCATTCTTGAAGTATATTATTTAACTAAACATTTGAACCAAACAATGAAATATAATTTATGCTATATTTCTTATTTATGTTGCTTCCGTTTCATATGGAATATCATTCATATTCATTCAAAATTAATTTTGTGAATCAAAGATGCTCTTAGGGGCTGTTTGGTTCACAAAATGTCAGATTGTTGGGAGTGTTAGATTACTAGGAATGTTAAATTCATGTCTTTGGTTAAAATTGAAATATGTAATATAATCATATTTGGTTTAGGGTTATATATAGAATTAAAATGCCAAAATTAATAAATATTCAAGGTTATCTTACATAACCTAAAAAAGGAAAGAGAATCACATTCCTTTTAAAATTTATGTAGAAATATTCTATTCCTTGAAAATGTTATATTTCCTAATCCCTAATATAATATGAACCAAACATAAGTTATGATAAATTTAACCCGTTAAAAAATGAACTCAATTAATTTGAGCGAATTAGTATAAAATTGAGTAAACTGACCCGAAAACGAAATGGGTTTTGACAAAATATTTGATAATGGGCCTTCAGCTTTGCTACGGCCCATTACGAGAACCAGAAAGGCAGAAATCATGGAAGCCACTATAAAATCCAATACCAAATGGGATTGGGAAAGAGGAAAAGGACCCAGATTTGAACCCGAGTCCGAATCCAAAAGAAAATCTGTTTCGTTTGTGAGGGAATAAAATTGCTCCGACCCTCTCACCTCATCTCATCTAACTCCAAAAAACGCCT